ACAGATAGCATCAATTTACAGCCAAGAGTCTCCAGCCATACTAAGTAGGCCTCAGAAAGTAATTATCAGATGAAAAATCAGCTGCCAGCACATATTTTTATTTTCACATTACTGACACCCAGGTGTCACTTGTACCTCACTATCATAATGTGCCAGGGCCCTCCTGCACGCTGTTGTAGCTCTGAGGATACAAAGCAGAGACATGCGAGTGGGATTTTGTTCTCTCTGTTTCCTCCTGCAAGAGCAATTTCCAGAGCTTCATCATCCTAAATGCTACGCATGGTGTCGTTACCCCTTCCCTCAGGGGTGTGCTGAAATGAAAGCAAGAGGCAATCTGCTGAAGGTGTCACTGCATCTGAGATGCAACAGGTTCTTATCTATACCCTGCAAAAAGCATTAACGTGCTACCGGAGTTCCAGTTTGCATCGAGAGACCCATTTTCTTTGCAGACACTCAGGGAACAGCCCTGCAGAACAAAAAAACCAACAACCTTCACCTGTGCTGATCAATACATTTGTTTTAAGGCCTCCAAATAGCATCACACAGGCTTAGTGCCTGCCTGGCATGTAGTTCCTCAGGCTGCGATTCCTAGAATGGCGAGGTGCAGGAATGACTTCTGCAAAATGCAAAAAACTGTCAGGTTACCAGCAAATTGTCATTGTCAGGCAGAACAGGGCAAAGTTGAGGCTGTGTTATTTACAAAAACCTTCCTGAGCAGAATAGTTGTGTATCTCCGTAAGCCAGGGGAAGAGTGCTGACACCCACCTGGGCTTCCTGTCCTCTTCCTTATTGCTAAGAACAGAGTTCAAGACCCTTTTTCAGCCATCCTGTGCCAAACCTGATGTGTGTTTCTACCCAACATCCTGCTGCACACAGCAGTTCACTGCCATTCCTTTGAGAGGACCTGGAGGGCAGGAGGCATGATCAATCTCCATAGTACGCTGTATGCTGACTATTTCTGTATAATGCGAACTTAAATGGATGGAATTTTGTTCAGAGTGCCTGTAAGCGCCCTCCCTTCTCTACTAGTGATAAAACAGAAAGCAATCTACCTGGAGTCACAGATGATGCACTTTTTTAGAGATTCCAGTAATTAGTAGTATCTTAGTTCTGTCTAAACCAAGTTGCAGCTTAAGGTAAGTGCTGAGCATCTGTGCCCATCTCAGGGCAGGAGGCTGAAGGCCTCTCATTCCTGTGCTCAGTCTGCCCTGTGAGGACAGGGATGGAGGAACAGCAGAAGGGAAAAACACTTAAGCTAACTGAAGTCCTTACTAAGCAGCATTTCATGCCAAGAGCTCAGGCAATTCTGAATCAGGGGCCACTTCCTTTCTAGGAACATGATACCCCAAAAGAGGCAGGACACAACATAAATATTACAAGTCTATAATCCCATGCACCGCAGGCAGAGCTGGCCAATATCCCACACTAGCAACACGCATCCAAGGAGGGACTCTGATGGGACAGGCAGGGTCCTTGCGCCAGCTAGATAGGAGGAAACTGTTTTTCACAGTGCAAGGGGTTGAAATGCTGGACCAGGGCCCCAGCGAGGCACTATGATCTCCAGCCCTGGAGACCTGCAGCACTGAAAGGATGAGGCCCTGAGCAACCTTGGAAGACAGCCCCACTTGAACAGGGATTGAACTGGTGGCCTGAGGGATCTCTGCCAGCCTGAATCACTCCAAAACCTAGTGAAAAAAAAGGGGGTTGTGCTGGGTTCTGAAGTACAGTTGGCGACTGATGCATGATGAGATCTTAAAGTTCTTGAATTCATCGGGAACACTGTGTTTGATTTCAATGGCTTTTATTTTAGGTTATACATGACCTGTTGGTGCAATTATTTCAGTGAATTATTGACAGATTGTATCACAGGGTGCAAAGTGGCATTAAACCATTTCTGTGCACGAGCTGGCCACATGGACTTTTTGTTTTTTCTTTGCAGACATTGCCAGGTTCAGCAGGTCTCTCTTCCTCTTCCTCGGTGAGAGCACAAAGGGATCCTTTCCTTGTGAGTAAATGAGTGATCATTGCACAATGTTTCTCTGCAAACGAGTGTTTGAGGACGCCTTAGCTGGATTGCACAACCCTATTTGGTCAAAGTCTCCTGAAACACTCCTGTCTGCTGATGGCTCATGTGAGGGCCAGAGCATGAGTCATGGCGTGACCATCTTGACTAACCAGGGGAAGCCACAGATCACCAGACTGGACTGCTTCCTTCTTGCCTGGGCTGCAGCACGAGGAAACCCCATGGCCAAGCAAATTGATAAATTCCCATGGAGCATTTAAAAATGCCCATTCCTTTCCCACATTTGACATTTTTTTCCTCACCACCTCAAATGTCAGATACCAGCCCAGAGCAGTGCAGGACCCTGGTACCCAGAGTCCAGAAGGAGGGACATGCTGAACTGCTCCAACAGTCACCACACTTGAGGACTTGGAGCTTTGCCAGTCTCCCCAAAACAGCAGCATGTTTGTTCCAGAGAGGCTGTTTCTGGATGACCCTGGCACAGGCAGAGCCTGAGTCCCGCCACTGAGCTGTGAGCTTGGAGAGACAGCAGCAATCTCTGTCCTGGGTCCTTCAGGATCCCATCATTTGGGTCATCTCCCAGCTTGTGTTTCCTGGAACAGCTGTGGTCAGGCCCTGGAGGAGCCAGGTCACCCCTGTACGCCAGAGGTGTATATTATATAAACTACCAGCAAAGTTGTTGATGGTAGTTTTTATACAATGTGACCAAACAGGCCAGGTGCCCCACAGCCTCTGAGCAGGCCCTGCTCTGCACCAAGCCCCAGCACAGGGATTTCCTTCCAGGCAGCTCGCAGCCAGGCACAGTAACTCACATTACTCGATAATCTCTGAGTTCAGGAGAGCCATGGCAACCTTTGTACACCAAATCAGAGCTCTGCAGTTGTTATGCCAGAGGAAAAGGTTACATGTGGAATTTGAGAGCCTTTATAAAAGCCCACAGAGATTCATCTGGCACTCCTTGCATTTTGAAAACTGGGATCTGCAGGTCTGATCTGGGGACTAGGATTTGCTAAATTGTAGTCTGAGCCCATTTGGATTGCAGTGATTTAGCACTGTCGCAGTTTCCACATACTCCGTGGTCCCCGCCTTGTCCCAAGGTCCAGCTGCTGACTGTTCCAGGATGCTGAGAGGTGCAGGAGCGCTTCACTTCATCAATCTGTTGCTCAACCTTGGCCAGTGCAAAGTCTGGTTGCTCTCCAGAAATATTCAGCAGATGATCAGTCCTAGCTTCCTTCCTCGCATGTTTCAACTTTAGCCTCATGCCATCAGATTACTTTAGGGTCATCAACTGTGAATATTACAGTGTAAAGATAACCTGATCAGGCCAAGCACTTTGGCAGACATACATGTCTTTGCTCCCAGGGCTTAAAATAACTTGCAGCAGCCACAGCAGAGCTAAGCTGCTGGTCAGAGCCCCCCACATCTCTGGGTCTGGTGCTGGGGACCCCCAGTCCTGCCATACGTGAACCCCATGCAGTGTGATACCTGTGCACAGGTGGTAGGAGGCAAGGTGGGTACATGGCTTGGAGTCCTACCAAGGCAGGATGAGGAGGCTGGTGGGAGGGGGGCCAGAGCACTAGTCTGGGCCCATGGTTTGGGTGAGGAAGGGAGGTGAGAGGCGGGGCAGGGTGGTGGCTCTCTTGGGAGAGTGGGTGCAAAACAGATTTGGAGAGTGTGTGAGGCATGGGTTTGAGAAAAAAGGAAGGTTCATTAAGTGATGCTGCCCAGAGGTTGGACCCTCCTGCTGCCACAGCTCCAGGGGGTGACAGCTGAGATCATCTTCAGTATGGCCAACACGGAGCAATCAGCCCTCAGGACACGGGGACATCAGTGATACCTACAGTGGAAACAGGACAACTGGCTTGTCTGTGCTGTGTGTTGGGGATTTACTGGCAGTGCTTCCACTACAGGGGGAAACCACCATGAGCCAACACGCAGAGCTGGTGGTGGGCTGAGGAGCTGGGCAGGGTGAGGATATGTTGCCTCACAGCCAGAGAGCCCAAGGGGCCTTATATCCAGCCCCCCGGTGAGGGCCTGCTGCCGAGCCATCGGCACACCACATCCAGGGCAGCACAGCAGAAGGGCAAGAGCTGATGTCCCTGCAGCAGCCTGCAGGACGGCCGCGGGGAAGCTGCTGTCGGGGCAGAGGCCAGCAGCTCCCGGGGCCATGGGAGCTGCCCGGGGGCCTCGCCCACTGCTACAGCCAGGAGTGGGGCAGCAGGAGACACCAGGGACAGCCCCAGTCCTGGGCATCAGGGACCTGTCTGGGCATGGGGACAGGCGGAGGCGGAGCAGAGCCATAGCTGCGGGGAGCCGGAGAGCAGCCCTGCTGCAGCGTCACTGGGGCAGGGGCTGAGCCCTGCGAGGCTGAAATGGGGACCTGAGCCGTGGGCAGGGTGGGGTAGCCCTGGGGAGGCACTGGAGGCAGCAACGCCTGTGAGTGCCCTCAGGGCCCTGAGAGCAGCATATCCTCCATCAGATCGGTACTGGAAACCTGTATTTCAGGTTTGGTCATGACAGCACAGGCTCCCAGCAGGAGCACGCTGTCCTGCAAGAGGATAATGGGAGGGGTTCAGCTCCGGCACCCCTCGGGTGTGCTGCCCCATGGCAGGGCAGCAGTGCTGACAGCAGCACATGAGCAAAAATAACTATGAATTTAGAGTCAGCTCAGCGCCAGTGTCACACTCCGCAAGCTCTGCATATGATGTCCTCAAAACCAAGATAGCTGTTATTCACTGTTCCTCATTCTTGGTTGTTTTCCCTTCCTGACAAGACGTGCACGCATCCCAAACTGGCAGATGCACGGCCCTGGTTTGCTATTTAAATGCAGGTTTGGCTAGTGCATGCTCCAGCAACTGACAACTGAGTAAAACTGACAAGTGACAACTAAGTAAAAAGGGACAGGTATTTAATTCTAGCTCTTTTTGACTTTTAAGTTTTAATCTGATTTGCTACACTGCACAAATGATTGAGTTATTTACAAATGTTTATTTTAAAATAATTGCACCATATCACACATGGAAATAAATATACAATTAACCAGACACTATCATACAACCAATGTGATTAAAACTGCTGTACATGTAAAACTGATGGTGAAGTCTTTCAATCTTTAAGAAAAGTACATTGATGAAAATGCCTATGCTACCTGATTTCAGTGACAAATACATGGCAGAAAATCTATTCTTAGTGAATATACAGGATCATCTTGCATGATCTGTAATTACATGGATTTCAAAGGCAACGACATGTTGTAGACAGAAAAAAAAGAGATGGAGTTCTGCTACAGGTGGCAACCCTATTCCACTGAATACATCAGACAAGACTCAGATTATTCAAACTGGGTGAATGGATACTGTAAGGCCTAAATGCAGTCTTACCTCCAGACAGACAGGTGTGTGTAGACCTTTCACAGGCCTCATGCACAGAGGTGACTCACACCTGCCATAATTTATTATGGGGTAAATGTCCACTTTTCTGCAAGATCTCTGGATTTTCTCCATTGTACATTTGCATTCTGTGACATCAGCTGGTTGCTAGTGGGAGGTTCTGAGGTTTGATACTTCAAGTTTTCCAGAGGATAAATGTTCTCCTGAATGCTCCCTTTATTTCTGCAAATCAACTCTGCTGAAAAATGCCCCGTATTCAGACAGCATCTACAATTAGCACATCTGCCTTGTGTCGAAGGTCATGCTCCAGAGACATTCTGCGATCTGCAGATATCAGAGGATCTCATGAGATAAGCTATCCAGCCCTTCCAGGATGACAGCAAACACAAGAGCAGCTCAACCCTTAGGGAAAGTCTGACTCTTTGACAATTGTAACTGGTGGGGTTTTATGGTCTATTGGTTTATAAATAAAATAGAAATCTTTCTTGGTTTCACTCTTCAGCAGGGAGGCTTTGATATGGTGAGGAAGGGCATCTTTGTCCAGCTGCAGCCACTGGTCATCAACATAAACAAAGAGTCCATAGTCCTTGGGATGGGAGACTTCAAACTTTTCAGCACACTGCTGGCTCAGCTGCTCAGCTGTGGTGTCCTTCCGGGAAGCAAGTGTCCTTGACTGAGCACCGATTTCCAGAAAACAGATAGAGATGAAATCCTGAAGAGAAACATGAGGATAGATCTTGCAGTTAACGCAGTGACTTAGGACTGAAGGAGGTAGAATTCAGCCTGAAAGCTCTAGCTGCCTGGAGCTGCTAAACGCTCCCAAATATCCCCCAACCATTCTCCAATGCCCTAGTTATTCTCTCTTTTCTCCCCTCTGATGAACAAGCTCTGAATCAACAAATACTTAAATAACACTTAACTGAATAATTAATCCTGTAAAGATACACAAGTGAAAGCTTTTTTTTTTTTTTCCTGATTTTGGTGAATATCCTTAGCGAACAACCTGCAACAGTGCCTTCTTCCACCTTTCTACAGCTTCTGAAAAAATAGGATGCAAAGAAGTAACAGACCAGAATAACAAACCAAAAACCTCAGAGATCTGGCCTGAAAACCCCCTGTCTCACAGGAACAAGAAAGGGCTGGCAGTATGCTGACCCTAGTAACTCCACCATCACCCAAACAGCACCCTGAGAGTGTGTCCTCCAAACTTCTTCCATCAGTAAGGATACAGCAGAAGTTATCCTGAGAAGGCTGATTTACTTGTGTTCTGTTTCAGGTAGTAATGACTGTTGGGGTGACTTTCTCCTTGCCAAACTTATGAGGAACAGAATCTAGAGAACCTTTGGCCATAGTGGAACCTGTATGTTTAATTTATATTTGTGAAGTTTTGGTGAGAAAACACTCAGTTCCCCAGCAGAAGTGAGATTTGCCAAATATTTGGACTATGGGTTTCCAAACTGCATTTATGGAGTATCACTGCAGATGAGTAAGGCATCCAGAGGGTGTGCAGAGGCATGCTGAAAACCTCAAAGGGATGTTTACCTTGGCCAGGATGGGCTCACATGTCTTTGATATTACCACTCATTCATAGGAACGGAAAATGGCCCTTACACTGCTGGAGGCAGAGGGAATCTTCTGGGAAAATGTGGCATTTGTTGCCCAGCTATTATGCTCCAAGGTAGGTACTTGCTATGAGCTACTGCCAGAACAGCACTTGGTGCTGGATGGGTATTTGATGCATCTCAGCCGTCATTCACAGGTTCTGAAATCATCAGGGACTGTTTTGACTGCAATATGGGAAGCGTACTAAACCCCATGCTTTCACGGGGCTATGTGGACTATGTCTACCCCTCAGACTTTCCCCTGGCATTCCCCTCAGCATTCACAATTTTCAATTTTGCACTGTGAAGGCTTTACAGAACCTGAGACGTAGCCTTTGCTGCCTCCCTGTGGGTGAAAATTTGATCACAGGACATGGGGCCAGCAGGACATCCCAGCTGCCCGGTCCTGTACCCAGACTCACCATGGCTGGAGGCCTAGAGCTCCCATCCCTCCTGGGACCCTGTCCCACTGGGGCATGGGGAGGTCTCCACCGGGCCATACGCAGCATGGGCTTCAAAGCTATCCAGCCATTGCTGGGTCTGTCCCGTGTCGGATGGGAGAAGCCAGGCTCTAGAAGGCACTTGTCTGCCTGGCCCTTGGGATGTCTCAGGTCCTCCTACAGCTTTATGCTACCTAGGAACCACCCCTGAGCAGCCTGCTCACATCTCCTCAGTTTAGACCAGGACTTCCTCTGGCCCCAGGGAAATTTGAAATGAGGTGTGGGTTTTTTTAGATTTGGAAATCCTGTACTGTATAAACTCTCGTTTTTCAACAATGATTTGGGTTAATTTTGTTTTAATATAATTATCATATTCAAAATTAGTAAGTATGGAGACAGCATGTTCACCTTCCAAGGCTTTTTCCCTAGAAAGTAATGCCAGCTACCTGCACTGATGAGCGGGAAGCCTGGGCCTTGTTCAGTGTCCTCCGTCGCTCCCAGCGGTGAATGGAGTCCTGCACCTCCATGCTCAGCTGCCGTGTGACAGTGATTTTGTCGTAGTTCTTGATGTGCTCCAGGGCCCCATAGGTGGTGGTTAAATAATAAGAGCCTGTGAAAGAGGAATATCTTGTATGAACACTACACCTGCATGGGCCATTCATTTCTGCTTCCATCCTGCCTGCTTGTGCCTGTGCAGTGGCATCTGTCTAATGTTTGCACTGTCAGTGCCTTGCTGCAGGGAGTGCAAGGGTGTCTGGAATTAACCCAAGAGAACCAAGAACTAATGACTACAGTGTCCTCCACCCCTTTCTGCTTCACAGCAATGTCACTGCCCAGACTGCTGAGGTTGTAGATGCCTTAGGAATAAACAAAGACTGAAGGCAAACAACTACAAAAACTGCTTTCACAAACAAATCCAAACCATTCTTATAACCAATCTAAATTTACCCACTTCCAGTTTAAAACCATTGACCCTTGTCCTGTCACTACAGATCTTGATAAAAAGCCTTTATCTGTCTTTATATATTGAAATGCCACAATAAGGTCTCCCTGGAGCCTTCTCTTCTCCAGGCTGAACAACCCCAACTCTCTATGCCTCTCCTCACAGGAGAAGTTCTCCAGCCCTCTGATCGTTTTTGTGGCCCTCCTCTGGACCTCCTCCAACAGGTTTTTCCTGTGCTGAGGGCCCCAGAGGTGGACACAGCACTCCAGGTGGGGTGTCACCAGAATGGAGTAGTGGGGGAGAATCACTTTCCTCGACCTGCTGGCCACACTTCTTTTGACGCAGTCCAGGACACAGCTGACAACATTTAGAGCCTGTGACCCCTGTGGGCTCAGCACTGTTGAAGGCTGTCTCAGACCTGCAAGGACAAGTCACCCTCTCCTCCCTCCATCTCTACTAACTACACAAGGAGCCCAAGTGTCTGGCTGAGAGTAATTTCTAGACTGTTTAGAGTTGTGGGATAAATCTTGATAAAGCAGGGAAACAGAGGATAAAGCAGTAAAAGCCTGCAGCTAGCCCTTTTCCATCAGAAACTCCCTGACTGCTGTGGTGTGGGCTGCAGCAGGTAGTAAATAACAACCGAAGAAGCCAGGGAAGCAGCTGGACCATTATAAGAGCAGACTTCATCAGCAGAGATGAAGATAAGCCCTGATAAAAGGGCAGAGTTGAATATGAGGAAGTTGCTGCTTTGGTTGTGGGGCACCCTCATATCAGGACATGGCCCCAGAGCTGGGTTAATGAAAAGTACTTTTTCCAGCTGCCTCCTGGGCTCAGATCTGTTGATGAGTGAGAGGCTTGGGCCAGGGTCTCCTCTGAACGGACGGAAAGAGTCAGCCTGCAGAGCTGCTTGAGCATCAGTGCAGTGTCCCCGCAGCAGTGGGGATGAGGACACGTCCCCTGGGCCTCCAGGTGAGAGTATGTCTGGCCTGAAGCCAGGCAAGGGGCCAGGCCGGGGGGGGGGCCGGTGGTGCCCACCGCCGTCTGAAAGCCCCCGTGCTGGGCCAAGCCCATCACCCTGGCCTCTGTACGATTCCCTGATCCTGCTCCCCTCACCTCGGATGCCAGGAAAACGGGGAGAAATAAAAATTGCCCATCACCTGGGCACAGCTCCTTGGTTTCAGTAAGTTTTGTAATGATTGCAGTTGCCTCTAGATGGCACTTGCACATCACCCAAACGTCGCACCAGCCCGCCTGAGGTTTCGTAGCCCTTCCTCGAGCTTCAGTCATTGCGGCTGGTTGCGAAAGTGGTGGCTAAGACAACATTTTATTTTGAAGCAGTATTTTTAGAGCACCATTAAAGTTTGGTGTAGCAGAGCAGAGATCAAGACATTGCCATTTGACTTTCCGTACTTGGATGGATCCAATGAAAAATGTCCTACAGCTACATAGGACTGCATACACCAAACCAGTCTTTTTCTTTACTATCTCCCACAAGATGCTGCTGAGGACAGGCTAACAAGCCTGAAAGTGCCATTTTCCCCCTCTTAAATATAGTTATTACCCTCCCTTTTCTGTCATTCAGTATTTCTCCTGCTCTGGAAGAGTCGGGGTGCCTGTGGTGGGACCCACAACCTGGTGTCTCACTTCCCTCATAATCCAGGGAGGAAGATCTCCCTGTCCCTCATGACAGGAATTTATTACACCTTCTTTAAGAATTAAATTTTCTTCCACTTTCCAGTATCTTCGTTTCCACAGAGTCATTCCACATCATCTGTCCTTGTCTTTGCCCCAGTAGTCAACAAAATTCAAAGTAAATTCTTGATTTTGAGGCCAAATTTAAATGATACTGTGTATTGACCTGACACAATTTCACGGTTTTCTATTCTGCTTTCCTTTTTTTCTTTTTATTTTTGTGTTTGAATCACCTTTTGTCCTTTAACTTTGGAAGGCCTAACAAGTTAACATTTGCCAGTTCCTGTTTTAGCCCTGTGCTTTGCAATCTCATAGCTGAGATGTTTGGGTTTTTTTCCTGTTCCCTGTATCTGCAGTTACTCCCAGTCTCCTTTCTGATGTGGTTACTTAGCCAGTTTGACCTGGAACTCCCTCACAAAATTTTTCCCTTTTGACTGGTGTATACATTTCACACAGCCTTTGCTGCTTTGACTTAAGAGACTTTCAGCCAGCATTGTCTTCCATAGCCTGAGCTCCCCAATGCAGCTTCAGTAACCAGCCTGGTAGGGTGCCCTTCTGAAATGTGGGCAGCATAGTCACCAAAATCAGCTTAGTTATGAAACTGCTGTGCTTAGGATAACATTTTTTCTGCTAACAATTCTTTTCAGCAGGAAAATTAGCCTGTGCAGAAACTCCTCACTAATACTACTAATAAGTAGTGTTGCTACTGCTCTTTCTGTTACTACTTACTTTTGCCCACCTCTGCACTGTGCTGGGATGACATGCTCTTAGTTACAGACTTATACCTCCATTTAATGTAAATAAAATTAGTCTGCTGTTGTTTATCCAGAACACCTTTCTAGAACCTCAGTATGTACCAAAACAAAATCCATTTTATTTGTTTAGAAACTACTTGGTGAAAAGTAATATGTGTTCCTAATTCAGAGTGTGTAACCCTGCCAGTAGCATTTGCTTCCCAAGCTATATTTAAGAAACTAAAGGCTCACAGTTCCCTGGGGTGTTTATCCCTCTAATAGCAGAGGTCTTTATTCACATCCAAAACCAATATTCCTCTCTAACCTGACTTTCCTTTCTCTGCCTCTGTATAACACACAGCCAGAGAACATTGTCGAAGGGTTCACTCAAATTTAAGAGTAGAGTGATCATGAGAATGATGTATGGCCCCAGGAAAACAATGCAGTTTAAGAAATGTGCTCTTTTCTCATTTGAATAAATAGAAGTGTCTGTACAATGGATTCCAGCAGTAGTTTAATTTTAGGCAAAGACCTTCTAACTTTTCAGTCTTTGGGCCAAGGAACACTAGATGTCTCTGTTTAGGTTACTAATTCAGCAACTCAATTCTTGTTTATGCTGGGTCCCTGCCTTTCTAGCTGTTGTCTAGGGGCACTGCACTGCTAAAAACAGTTAGACAATAATTTTAGAGCCTCAGATGTGAAAAGCTTGGCCAAAGCTTATCCACAAGGCCTAACCAGTATCTTACTGCCCCATTTTCACAAACAGTGAAGCAAGGTAAATAATTATTTCCAAAGTGAATATCCCAGGAACAAATACTGTACTCTACCTTCCCCTAGCTGCAGAGCAGGGTCCATGAGCTCCATCATATACTCCACATTCAGAAGGACTTCAGTCAAGTTGCTGCGGGCCAACACATACATGAGCACGGGAAGGAAGTCATCTGCACCGTATGGTTTCCCTGAGCAAAGAGAAACACAGAGTGGTCCTAATAAACTCATCACAAAGACATGTTCCACAAAACAGCGACAGCTTCTCACCCAGCATATCCTTTGCAGAATTCAGCTTCCATTATAAGAAAAGTTAAAGCTTGAAAGCACCAGCAAAGAAAAAATGACAAAAAAGGGAAATTTACTTCACTTAAAAAGTAAGTAAACTTGCTTCAAGTACAAAATATAAGCTTGAAAATTTTTAGTGAGCTCCATTACTGCCATCCTTTATTAACTTGAGAAAGAGAAATTTAAACTTTACAGATCAAGACAAAGGACGATCCTTGAAAAGTGAAAAGGCTACCAGCTCAGACGTCTGATTTGTCACTGCCATCAAGACTGCAGTGCACATTTTCAATATTAGCAACAAAGTGGACTATATACATTAGGGGTATTTATTCTTATAGGTTAGCTCTATATTTGGGACCAAAGAGCAGAAAACAGAATTTGAGACAGTGGGTTTTAGGACTGAGAACTTCCATGTTTATGTTCTTTCAGAAGTCAAAACATCACACTACCTAATTAAAAGAGTCTCCCAAGAGCTAGGATCTAAAATGAAGCATTTCTCCAGGCATGGTGTCTAGCTAAGAAAAAAAACCCAAACTTTTACACTGGAGTTAAAACTAATTGTTGGACTTAGTATGCAGCAGATGCGACAGGAACAAGATACTCATGGGCTCAAAATTTCCTGTGTTTAAAACATTCACATCAACAAAGTCAACAAAGTGATCATATCTGTAATCTGTAAAAGCTCCTTGGGATCTCTGAGGGCAAAAACCCATGAATGTTAACAGCCATCATTATAAATAATTGCTACTTAAAATAGGATCCAAGCTGAATCTTCATCGCATAAATGACAAAGAACATAAGGATAACTTTTCTTATTTGAAAGATGCTTTCACTTTTTACCAACATGACACAAATTCATCATGAACCACCCATAATAACAAGTTGTTTAAGAGACCTATCTTCTGAACTTTCAGGGCTGCCCATTCCTCTTAACCTAAGCCCAGACTGCTTTCATTCTGAACGTCCTCCCTCAGATGTTCTGCACTTTTCCTCACCTAAGCACTCAGATGTGTTGGTTTCATGGGCCATGTGTGTCTCACTTGAGAACCACTTGCCTCACCTCAAAGAATCAAAGCTACCCTTGGTGTAGCTTCAGTGAAATTATGCCCTAGCCATTTTTGGCACATAGTCCACATACCCTTCCATGGTAGGGCATAAATTCCTGTTTCTCAACTGTTCCCACTGACTTATTTAAAATCTTTGCCATGAGTCAGCTTTCCTTTTTTGTCATTCATAGCTGACGCAAATTCTCCACTGGCGAAGAACGATACTCTTCTGAAGCCTCAAATAAACATGAGCTTAGCCCCTGATTAAAAAAAAAAAAAAAAAAAAAAAAAAAAAAAAAAAAAGAAGAAAAAGTATGGCTTTAAAATAATCCCAGTAATATATCTAGTGAACAGAGAGTTAATCCAGTTAAAACAAAGTGTTGGATGATAAGAGACTGTCAGGCCTGTAATTCAGTCTGTTTCTAACAGAGTCCTCACATGCCACAACACAAGACAATTTATTTAATGAAAGCTGGATTAACGCTTTCAATTCTGTTTGCCTTATTATGGCTGCCTTTAGTTAAATGACACAGCCTTAGGTCTGTAAAAGGACTGTATTGTTTCATTAACATCTGGATGGATATTTTTTCTGTTGTTGCCTTGGCTTATGTCTCTGTGAAAGCTTCAGCTCTGTGAAGTGTCCAATTCATTACTGTCATATATACTACCTTAACACAAGCAGCTTAGTATTATAGCTATTTAATACTGTCTAGCGAAAATAGATTACACAATTGAGACATGAAAATGTACTAGAAAAACTGCATAGAGAAAAGCTGTTCTCCTTTTGACCTGAGTAAATCAGATCCCAACAGTTAGTTCTGTATAAAAGTAGTATAAAGGAAGATGAAATAGCAAAGAGTTTACTAGGCTCATTTTTTTCCCTTCTTTAAAAACTTTTGCTTTATCATGTAGAAGTTACTGATCAGTGGCATGGATTGGGTGCTTCTGATTTCCTGAAGGCCAAGGGATTTCCAGTGCAGAATTTTCTCTTCCCTACCATTTCATTTTCATGACAAATCCATGTTCTGTCTGCTAGGGCATCACAGAAAGTTGTTCCTTCACAACATGAATCCCTATCCACTGGAAAAAAAAAAATGCTGGTTTTTTTTAATAAAATGTCACCAGAAGAGTTCACCATCCAGCCAACAGACTGACCAACCAATGCAGAGTGGAAACAGAAACTTGGAACTAAACAATTCCATGTCCCTAGCCTTCAACTCCCAGTGTCAACTGAAATGGAAGTTAGAGGACACTTTCCAAGGAGCTCCTACAGGATCTATTTATTTTTTATTGCCTGAGAAGTGATTGTATGTACAAACAGGCACCAAGTCAATTATTTTTCATTGCTGTCTATCTCATTTCTATAAGTTGATTTAGCTGCTCTGCCCACCAGCCCTTGTTATAAACCTTTCTCAACTTTAAGATTTCATAGAAATATTATTGAACTCCCAACTGTTTATTGCTTAAATGCAAAAATCTGATACACAGTTTATTTTTGATTAATAAACTCAGAGTGGGGATGTCTGACTGCAATAATGGAAAGAGTACTCATTTTCCATATGCTGTAGGCTCGTAACCTGCATAAATTACTAAACATCATTTTAATCCACTTGTGAAAATACGAAGCCTGATTCTTAAATACCCACATCTGTAGCTAAAGCTGAAGTCAGCAGGAGCTGTAGGCGTCAACAAGAGAAAAGCAAAGCTAATCCTCAGGGATCTAGTTCTGACTTTATGTGTGGCTTAGGGCAGGGCAGGCATGGTGTATATATATATATATATACTGTGCCTACTGCTTGTAGGCATTGCAACAGCTTTTCTCCACTGACTGCACATGGAACCAAGGATAGGTGCATGAGAGGGCAAGACTCTGAACCTCCCCTTGTTCTTCTGGTCTTGGATGTCACAGCAGGCACAGGGACTAGCTTAGACATGTACAGCCATCAGACCAAGTATGGCCCTGAGATGCCCTGTATCTCAGTCCATCCATGGGGATAATAGGTGCTGTCAGCAACTCAAATATGACCAGAAGAAGGAGGCTCAAAGATATATGAAACAATGCCTGTGAACCAAGGCACCTGAGAGGTTGGTGCTGCTCAGCATCCTGCAACCCACATGCTCCCTGTGCCATGGAAGGCATCAGGGCACTAACCACTGTCTATCCAGGGGCTGCAGCAGGGATGTTCTTGGCAGGCTGCTGCCTCCTCAGCTCCACTTTCAATCTGGGCCAGAGCCAAGCTCCCAGACCTGCATGTCTAGCTCCATCTATGGTCTCTCACAGAGGGGTTTGCAGCTAACAGAATTAAACCTATCTCTGACCCTCCCAATGGTCTCAGTGACACTGGATCTGAGCTTGTTTGTTCAAGGTGGTGGTGTCCTACTCCAGCTATGACTTGCTTGCTTTATTTCCCCCTCTTTCCTCCAGGATCAGGATACATTTATTTCATAAATATCTGTAAGAAGCTTAAAATAAGCCTTCTCTTCTGCCACAAATTCATCCTATTATGTTTATAGCAAAGCAAATACTATGTCATCTCCTGGCTGGGATGCAGTGATAGAATGGAATGGGTATTAATTAAATACATGATTTAAAGCAACTGGAATTCTGCCCAAGCCTCCATAAAGAAATTACAGCCTATTTTAACACATTCTGTATATTCTGACAACCAGCAGACAGTGATGATGGTCTGCATCTTGCTCTAATAGTTTACAAACACTGGAATGATGTCTAGCAACAGCTCTCCAGGAAATATGAATTTTAACTTCAGTTTATAGCTGGGAAACCTGAGGTACAGAAAGATTAATTAAGATTTGTTCAAGATCATAAGAAAAGATTGTGACCACCCTTCCACTCCCTAGCATTTTGCTGTCTCTTGTCCATCCCACACTATTTTAGCAAAGTCTGATTTATGGTACAGTTGAATTAAGAGAGTTAATACATGAATCTATTTCAAAAACACATGTTTTACAGATCAGAGGAATTTGTTCCCCTTGAAAAATTTGAACGAGCTTTTTAATTCAAATGTAGCAATTGTGCTAGCCAGAAAAAAAAAAAAAAAAGTATAATGTCTAGTCCATCAGCCTTCATTAATAGTAACTTATATGCAGATATCTTCTTCCTAAAGATAAGAAAGCAAAACTGTTATGTATAGCTTTATTTTCCTTCTCAGAAGTGAGCAGTATGGTGGGATAGCTCTGACTTAGTTTTAGGAACTTCTGGCATTAGTTCTACACTGATTGCTGAAGTATTTGAGGCCAATTTCCTTTTCACAGGCTCAGCTATCCCACTGAAGACACATTGCTTCGTGTCCATGCCTTTGTCAACTGCAAAGCCATATAGTAGTAGTATTCAGCTGCTCAGTTCTATGGGAGATAGCAAACCATCCTAAAAGCTAGGGAAAAGAAAGATTCCAATGGAATATATATCCTAGATTTCCTCTTCTTCCAAAGGCACACTATGCATTAGCCATGCCAAACTATGCAATAGAAATTATTAAATCAGATATTTTAGGGCCAATCACCTAGTCAGCTTCATCACTAGTACAAAACTGGTTTTGAACTATATATTCCAACTCCCTGTGCAGTTCAAAGATACTTGAAAAAAGAAGCTTCATAACCTTAGGTAGTCCACAAGTTAAAAATGTTGCAGTAAGAAAGTTGTTCCTCTGTTCATTCTTGAATCTGTTAAACTTCCAACCTCAGTTTAGAGCCTTTCCATGCCTGATTTTCCCCATTCATGAACTGACTGAGCTTGGCCTGTTTGTCTTACACAGTATTTCTTCATAAACCAATGCCTACGGCTCCACTGCTTTTGCTTTTCCAGCATTTCTCTTCAAGAGAGCAGCAGCTCCCAGGTAGCACAGAGCTGGGACCTCCAGGCTCACCATTGCCAGTACACACCACTGCAGATTTGCATCTTGTTTAGTTTATCATTCACAAGTGTCACTTGTGTTTTTGACAGAGTGAAAAGCAGAAATTCTCATGCTACGCCTGTAACATAACATGCCTTTGACTTTTTTTCTGAGAAAAGGTGTTTCTGAAAGTTAACTCATAAGCAGTCTTTTCTACATAAGATTAGAGTGCTTCTGTATAAATGAGGTATGTGTCCAACTCTCCCTATGGGTATTGGGGCATGCCTTCCAAATGTAGAAGCAGTCAGAGAGTTGAGAGCTCCCTGTGAGTCCTGCCTCTTACTTTTTCTAGTGCATAGATAAAAAATGCCCGGCAGTTTGCAGGGGAGGAGTTCGGTGGGTTTCCAAAGTCTATTTTTTAAAATCTTTCAATGCATATTATTCTTACTAACTACTCCTAGTGTTTTTAGAAGGCAGGTTACATTTCTGGATTGTAGGTTACATTCTTGGAGGCATACATTGCTGTTATTTAAATTTGCGCAGAGCTTGGAAAAGTTCAGTGAGACACTGTAATAATATCATAATTGTCCCTTCGGGGACGATTCACTTACTAATACCACTGCCTACACTGTACATGTGAACATCTGAACCAATACCTCTAAACGCCTTTTATAGCCAGTGATGAGCTAGTCAATACCATCAGTGGAGTTTGTCATGAGTCATCTCACCCTAAAACAGACACATACCTCTAGCCAGATGAATCAATGGAACTCCATCAACTAAGTTCCCATTGTCTATAATGAGAATCTAGACATGATGCCCATCTGTGGCCACCTAAAGCTAGATGTAGCTGTAGATGATTTCTAATTCAACATAGATCTATCCTGTAGTTGTGCTCAGGGGTCTGTTGGCAGAAAGGTGGGTGTACTGACAAAGACTGTGAACTTGTTTTCCCAATTCCTTTTGATGAATCAGATCTGCAAGGTGATTGCCTTCAACCTGAGGGCAAGATATTAGTTTAAACCAGCTGAGGGTCTGACCCATTCAGGTCATTGTCTAAGTATCAGGGGGCTCTACCACAGCCAATTTTTCAGACACATTTTGTCATGTAGTATGAATTGCAACTAAACCAGAGAACACCTCCTTTCTTAAAATGGCCTTATATACATGGAGTCAGCCAAGACTGACTTCAGAATTTCATGACTCTTTCAGCAGTGTAAAGATGGGCACTACCACAGGCACAGATATTCCTGAGTAAGCCTTTCTCTAGTTTTAAAGAAGACATGGTACCTGTCTGGACAACCTGGCCAAACCTGGACTGCTGTACACAGGTTCCAATATGTTAAAAAACTTGTGTTTTCATGTGGGTCTGAAAAAACAGGATACTTGATTTGGTGGTATCTTGACTTTGCTTTGAGATATGAAACTATATTCTTAGGTCAGCTCATCCTACGATCAGTCTAAAGTGGACTTGGCCTGAGCTACCAAATTGCAAATTAAATGGGACAACATAAGTAGTTATTGTGTTACTGAACAGATAATTTTTCTGACAGAAGTAGACTGATTTTGGTCCTGCAGCAGAGAGAATTATTAGTTTTGTGTTCCACCTGCTCTGGTCTTAGAAGAGGAGGGTACTTTCTAATTCAGCAGTAAGTAAAAGGAACTAAAAGAGTCTATTGCACAGGAAACTGAGCATGGCCTCTGCTCTTCCTGTGCGAAGAGCACTGCACTGCCTCAGGTCTGGCTGAAAGCAAAAGGAGCCCTGGGCTGCAGCTCTTGAGATGGGCAGAGAGCAGGAGGAACATTCCCACCCACTGAAATCTGGTCTGAGCAGCCTGCAGTGTGATCTTCTGCACACCACCAGCTGGGTATTCCCTGTCAGAAAAGTATTTCAGTTTGCTGAATATTTGTCTTTGCCAGGTGGAAAATCAAAGTGATCTGGGGTCAGTTCAGTCTGTTGAAGAGGTTTCACACATTTCACTTCTAAGTGGGTCTACAGGACATTTTCACTCAATTTCTGAGTCCACTGTCTTCTGTCAGTTAGACTATAGCATTCTTCTCCCCTTAACCTTTCTCTGGTCTGAATTAATTTGGGTACATTTCCTTAATGCCAGGTCAGTTTTCTTCTGACAGGCCCTGATATACATCACTGATCATATATACTGGAGAGGGAACTGGATGCACAGGTGTGAAGTCAAGCTTCTGACCTACTCCCTGCTTGCAGTAGGATTCAAGACAAAATAGCTGAGCTGGGCGAAATGAAGTGCTTTGGTTAGCATAGCAAACCACAGTGAAATTCTCTGATTTCATGAATGCCAATCTTTTAAAACATGTAGGGTTTTAAAAATTATTTCCCTGACCCCTAATTTCTGTTACATAAAATGACACAACGGCATTTCCTGCAACAGAGAAATTCCAGCCCCCAGCTAACTGAGGTGTAACAGATAGGTAAGGTACCACCAGCAGCAGCAGGAGACCTACATGGGTTTAATGAGGCACACAAGTCTTTGATCTATACCAGATTTACTCTCAAACTTAACACAACTGTTTTAACAAAGTTATAGCAAATTCCTCTCTATGTGTCTAAATTGTCTCATAACACTTTAAGGCGGTCAGAGGTCCTATCCACCCTGCAGCTTAGGCTCAGCCCTGGGGTGGCATCTTGCTCTGCTGTTAATGTGTCTAGACTGGTCACTGAACCTTGCTGCTACTGTCCAAGGGATGACCCTGATGTGAGGCTCAGAAGGGACACAACAATTCCTGTATCAGTGCTCCAAGGCCATTGTCAGTACAAAATAAAGCAGAATAGCTAAAAGCACCTTTGGAGATTGTGAGTTCTCAAACAACCACAGGTTGTTGCAAATTAATATCTGGCTTCTCTCCAAGTTTGTGCATGACTGGTCATCACCTTACCAGTATACAAAAAAAGCCCTTAAACTGGCAAGGCAGGTTCCTAGAGAAAGGGTCTCCCTGGCCTATCTGCAAAAATGCATCCTGTCTGCAGACCAAGCGCTTAACGTGTACATTTATTGTTGGCCTGAAGCCCAAGTTATATTAATACTCACAGCACATACTTCCTCGCACCGAAGCAGAGTAGCAGTGGCTTTTGGAATTTCCCGCAGCATCAGGAATTAGTAACAAACAGTACCAGCATTCTGTGTCTCCTCAATTTAGGCAAACTTTGTAAAAGTCAAATGACAAGTCTTTGCCTAGAGACCCATTCCTAGAATTTACCATTAAGCTACAAACTTGGACAGAGCTCTGAGGAATTATGTGAAGACCTGTGCGAAAAGGACATTACCCACAAAACACACACTTACTGACATTTGATTTTTTTGAGTTATGGAGCTTAAAGTTAACCTTATGCCTGCTATTAGTGCAGAGAGCTTCATGGTCATTAACCATCCCATTCTGAACACAACTTGTAGACAGCTGATACCAAACACAGCAACCATCACTGTTACCTCCAATTTGAATAACACCACATCAGCTGTATCATAAACCCTGTTCCTTTGATACATGGAGAAGGACCAGTGAGGGATACCATTTCAGTGGGAGTGCTGTACCTGGGTTTCCCTGAGCCATGGAGTCATAGATGAGTTTGCAGGACTTCAGCAAGATGGCAATCTTCTTTTCTGGGGAGTAGGCCTTGTGCATGGTTGTGAACTTGTGAAGTATCTTTTCTAGCACAACGGTTTCAGGCACACTGGTCGTGATGCCTAGGTCAGTGGTAGTTGTGTTTTGTATCACAAGTTGGTTCTCTTTTAGCTGCTGTAAAGATCTGTCTTTGTTGTGGATTTCCTTCAAGTAAGAATCAATGGCTTCTTTTAAAGGTTTCAGGACACATTTGTACAAAGCTGTCTCAGCAATGACTTCTGCATAGAGAATAGAAAAGTCAACGATAAATAATCAACACAATAGTACAGGTGCAAGTAAAACTCCTAAGAAAGCATGTGGCTGGTTATTCATGCACTACTGCATAGCCGTGAGCAAGGAGCAGAAATTAAACATTTCATTACCAACACCAACATTACCAACACCCTCCAGAAGTCCTGGATAGGCTTGAGATGAACATCAATGCATGGTCACTGCCACTGGAGCTGTGAGAGAGCTCCTGGTACCAGCAGTTCCTGCTGTATTTACCTGACTCCTGGCTGACCAACACAGCACTGTCAGGCAGCAGAAAAGCCCACTCTGGGAAAATGAGGAACCTCACCTAACTATGCTTCTCTTCACAGCCCTGCCCTTACAGAGGCCCAGGTGGGATTAATCTCATGTCCCTTCTGACATCGCTCTCTGACCTGTTTGAGATATTCATTTTGGGATGAAATTAATTGCATCCTCAAAGCACCCCTTTCTCCGTAGTGACTGAGAGGGGGCTGTAGCCGCCAGCTCAGGGGCAGACACCAACGTCTGGTCAGAAGTTTCTCACCCTTAGTGCTCAGTGAGTCTAATTTACTGATACTTGAGTCATTTCTTACGACACCTGTGGATGAGGAAATAGTCTTTGTGGGTTGACTGTTTGCTTAATATTTAGCAGGATATAAAAGGAGCATGAGAGCTTGTGGGCAAGTCTGTTCTCTGACTCTTAGAAACCAGAGACAGAGCTAGAGGGACTGCAAGGGATCCTCTTGTTATCCCTGAACTGAGGCAAAAAGGTCACTGGCAAAAGAGTTCATCTGCTCAGGCACTGAGGAATGAAACAGAGGGCAGTAACATTTATGTATACAAAGTGCAACTGTTTTAGAGAATCCAGAGAATCAGTCAGCCTGAAGAAGTCCAAACCCAAATGTTAAATCTTCCGCAGTGGGAAACCCTGTCCTCCACAGGAGAAGACAGTCCTCCCTAGGCTGACTGGGCCATATCATCCTAAGGAACTGCCAGCAAACAGGGCTAGATCTAACCAGGCATGTCTGTGTGAAGGTGGGTGGATCCTTGCACACACGCAACTCTACCAAGCAGAACAAGGACACTTCTTCTTTCTGCCTCCTCTCTACCTTCCCTAATCAAGATTCAAGACAGACTTCTCTGTGCTGACACCCTCTCTGCCTTGAAGAAAGGGACACAAATTCATGATGTTACATGAGGTGCTTGAGAAGCAAAACTGTAGCTCCCCTCTCCTAGCTATGGCAAGGTGCTGGCAGCAGGTCTGTTCTGCTGGGGAGACTGCAGGATCATGTGACGTCTTTGCTGGGTGAGAAAGAAGTCAGCAGGGCCTGTTGAGGCTGACAGCTGAGTGCCCCTGGGTCCTGGCTCACAACTTAGATGGGTTCACCTAATACTGGAGCTGCAGGGTCCTGTGGAATCCCTGGTCTGTGTTGGGGGTCTTCCAGCTCCCAGCTTGCTTTAAGCTAACTTAGGAATCTCATAAATAGCTCTGCATTGTTTCTCAGGTACTCAAGAATCAATTTTAAATCAAATGAGCATTTGAGTACATGCATGTATGCTTTTTCTGGCTGTACAGCTTTGACTGGGACAAAAATTCCTACAGTTCTTTGTATATTCCCTCACAAATGTACATTGAACAGGCCAGTCCATTTCTTAGCAAGGTAAGTAGCATGTTACTCCCTCACAGAATATTGAATGAGAAGCAACAAAACACCCCTAAACAGCCAAAAATGCTATTTTTCCTCCCCAAAGGTAAATTATGTCTGTGGCAAAGAGAGTCAATGCTGCATTTTGGAGCCAGCAGTAGCCTTTCAGCAGGAAGCTCTTTCATGCCTCTGAACTCTAAGGAGCACAGAGCAGGATCAAGTGATTCCTCCAACCTGCCACTCAACATCATCGTAGTCTTGTCACTTCTCCTTGTGAGACAGTGACTGACCCCTGATCTGGTTGCCACGTGCAGGGACTTCTCCATCCTCCCTGCAGAGCTTGTGGCAGTGGACATGGAAGGCCATGGGGAACATAGCTGTGCAGTTGGAAGTTGGCCTTTTGTGTTTCCAGTGAACACAGCTCTGTGTGTGTGTGCCCATGTGTACACAAACACACACATACTCTCATATTTGTATGCATGTATATGCATATACGTATATACATGCATATATGTCTCTCACACATACAAACACACATTTCTTCAGCTTAAACTCTTCCCTTTAAAACATTCATAATGGGATTTTCCCCCTCATTAGTCTCCCAGTTTTTAGAGCTGCTCCTCCAAGTGCTGGCAACCACAGAGTAGACTTCAATTTGTACCCCTCAGCTTTTAGGCGATGGTTTATAATTCTGTAAAACAGAACCTCTGTCTGCATAATTCCATCTTCCTCCTCACCTTCCCAAATCCTGCCCGAGGATTAGTAAAGCACAGACCTACCTAACTGTTCCTCAGTGTAGGAGGCTGGATCTATCAGAGATTTCAACTCGGTGCTCTGCACTAAGTAACTCTTCAGTTGTGTCATCATCATCCGGATTTCTTGTAGCATCTCTGTGCTGGAGCTCTGCTTTGCCATCATCTCTAAACTGTACACTCTGTAGTCCTGCACCAGGTTGCCAAAGTATGAATCCTTGTCCTGTGCCAGCTCCACTATCTTCTTCTGCAGTTTCCTGTCACTAGACAAAAACACTGTGAAGACATTGGACAGGCTCACAAAGGACAGCCTGTTCTTGGCCTTGCCCAAGATCATGGAGCGTGTCTTTTTATCGGATGAGCTACTCAGCATGTCCAGGTCATCCTCTGTGCTGCTGGTGGAGTAGGAGTCTGGCTCGGATGCTGATGCCTGAGCCACGGCACTGCCTCCCGGGCCCTCCAGGGAGGAGTGTGAACCTTTCAGTTCGACTGAGCTGACAGATTTGCAGCTACGTCCCGGTTCAGTCTTGGTATGTGTGCAAGTGGCACCACTTGCCACTGTAGATGAGCTGCTCTTGCACAAAGCCTGTGCCGTGGCTGCAGCTGTCTCTGCCACTGTTCTTTGCTTTGACTGGCAGGAGCTGGGGATCCTTGGAACCTGGGAGAGTCTCTTCCTCCTCGGTGGTGGGATAGGAGGTGACTTTCCTTTCTCAATGGCATTGCTTTGTATCTCAGGCATGTCCCCTGTCTTCTCTGAAGGTTCGGGCTTTGTCTCCTGAAACTGTGATATAGCCCTGTCAGGAACCTCCCCAGGCATTTCTACAGCTTTTTTGCACGGCGACCTTTTATCTCTGCTCTCTGTACTTGTGTCTTGTTTTTCTTCTGTCCGTTCCCCTTTCAGCGTTTCACAACTTCCAGGCTTACCCACACAGCTCTCCTCCGAGGTCCTCTCACACAGCCGCCTCCGTGGGGGGACAGATGGCTGGAAGCCCTTTTTGGGGCTCACTGCTGAGGGCTCATTGACTGAGCAGCTCTGCTTTCCTTCTTCTTCTTTATTGTCACCACCCTTAATTTTCATTTCCTTGATGCTCTTTCCTAGTGGCTGAAGAAGCAGCTCGTTTTCACAGGCAGTCATGGGATCCTGCAGGAGCTTCAGAGAAGATTTTTGAACTAGAGCATGAGGAGGTGGAGGTGGAGGTGGGCGGCAGGGAGACCTCCTTTCAGCGAGAGTGGTGGCAGAGGGGTGATCGGCGCTCACAGCATGGCTCTTAGGAGGAGGTACATCTGGAGGAAAAGGATTACTGCACTCTTCTATAAAAATAGGATTCACGAACCACAGCCTGTCATTTCCTATTGACAGCTCAATTTCACATGAGCAGTGGTTTGTGCTACTTGCAAAACACTGGGTAGATCTTAAACTGTCTGCCTGGGCAGTACTGAAAGCAGAGTCTTTTGCAGGGTGGAATAAATCCTCTCTCCTTCTGTGATTTAAGGAGGAATCCCAGAAATCTTAAAAAAAAAAAAAAAGAAAGAAGAATGAAAAAATGCCCTGAGAGAATTTTAGCTACTAATGGTATGTAAAAGTCCTACTTTTTGTTAAAAGAAATGGTACACGAGCTTTAACACCTCTGCACAAAACAGTGTGAAGAAAGGGTTGCCTGTTTTATGCATGTGAGATGCTTCAAACCAGGGGACAAGCTCAGAAGCTTCACCAGAAACCACTTTCTTGACAATTTTAGAACACTCATCTAGTGAAAACTGATGATGCTGTACAGCCTATGCAGTGTGAGCAGAAAGGTACAAGTAAAAAATATGATCAACGATTGTGAAAAGGAGTCTATGGCTTGTTCAGTGATTACTGCCCTTCAAATGCAAATAGCTGTGGGTGCCTGAGGTGAGGGTGTGAAGACCCCAGGTGAGTTCTGTCTCCCTCTTCCTGACCATGGAAAGGTGCAGGACTGACATATAAACCTGGATCCAACGTGCACCAGGAGGATAAGAGACATCAAATGAAGATGACTCCTCTATGCAGTAAGCTCATGTGGCAGACTCTGTTCTACATAAAGGTCAGATCCTGCTTTGCAGTAAAACCAGTCCAGAAACATATGATTTTAAATGTTTTCCGCAGATTAAAAGGACCATTAAAGTCTATAGCCATAGCCATGCCCACTCTCTTGCACCTTTGCCTTGAGACTGCTTGCCTGCAGGTGTAAGAGAGGAAAGATGGTGCAAAATATTGTGTATACAGGAAGGCTGATGGACTAAAGAATAGTTAAGTACTTCAGTGCCATCAGCTGTGACTGGAAAAGGAAGATGGTGTTTCAGATGCAAGTAGTCATTTCTGTATGTCACAAACCTCTTATTAGAATTTGTCTTTGAGTAACCTGTTTTAAAAAAATTACAAAGCATTTGTACATCTTTTGAATAGATTCAGTATCATATTTAACCTTTTTCCCTTCCCCCAGAGGTGAGCTTTCAAACCTGCTTGCTTTACCAATCTGATTGCTTTTAATCACTCTTACAGCTGCTAATCCAGGGTCCTCTACTGGAAGCATCAGCAAACAGGATCCTGCAAACACCATGTATTCTGACCAAGGAAAAGGGTATAAACCGCTGAGGGTATTCACTGAGTGAGGACTGTATAGATGCCTATATATTTAGGGACAAGGAGAAGATGTGAAATCCTGGAAACACAATGCAAATAAATTAATAACTATTCCAGCATGCTTGGTCCCTGGACACAGAGCTGACACTGACAGAACACTCTTCTGGCTGGGCTTATAGGGGACATGAACAGGGCTGCCACACAGCGCCTGACTCCTGCCCTGTGCTTGGTGCCAAGTCTGTCTTGCTGCAAAAACATCACATGCTGGGCCCAAGAGGGGATGGATGGGGCTGCACACGTGTGGGATGACCCTCGGTGCTGAGCATACGGTACAGCTTGCAGGACAGTGCCTTCAGCTGTGCCTTGCCAGGGCCCCATTCACCTCTCAGCTGTACCAGCATAGCCTCCAGCCCATCACAGGAAAGGGGGCACAGGGCTGAGCTGGCCAGAGTCTGGGCAGCATCAGCCTGTGTCTCTTCCTAAAAATCAGCACCCCAGAAAAGCTCAAAGGGACTTCCTATTAGAAAGGTCATAGCAAAACTCAAAACAGAGCAAAGAAACTTTTCAACTAAAGCTAATGCAGAAGTCAGGGGTGAAACACATTCGGATAAAATCTCTCCTTTGCTCACTGCATCCCCAAAGACAGACCACTTCTTCCCATTTTGCTCCCCAGTGCAACCGTGACATTTTATGGCTTCCTGCTTGCAGCTGGCTCCACACTGTTGCTGGAAAAGCCATCTTGTTTCTGCCACTGCCATGACCTGCCTTCTGCAGGGCTCTGCCCTTCCCCCTCAGTGCCCTAAGCCTACTGCTGGCCTTGCCTCCCTCTGCCAGTGATGAGGTCCCCTGGGCCACAGCCAGCTTCTCCAGGGACAGGGACTGTTCCTGTTCCTCTGGTGGGTGCAAGGCAGGGCAGGATGGGCAAGGCTGACTCCTCATTGCCCCTCCGCTCCCTTGAACCAAGCATTTCTATAACATAGGCACAGAGTAAGCTGCACACAGGTGTACTAAAAGACTGTCCATTACCATCAGAATAAAATTGCCAATATAGCCTCTCGCAGCCTAGGCTAGTATCCATGGCTAATTTGGCTCTATAAGCATGTCAGCATGTTTTCTTAGGGAGGCTGAGGTTAGAACAGCTTTATTTTATCTTGATTTCCTACCATGAGAGGGAGGAGAATGAAGAAGCTTAAAATATAAGTGTTGCCAGGAACAGCAGCACTTTTGACAACAGAATTCAGTAGACACGCAGATGCAACTGCACTAATACCATCATGCTGCCAACCCCCTCACATCTGAGACTGTCTGGGGTGTGATTTCCTTTAAATGCTTCAACTCTGCTGGGTATCAGCAAATGCAGGACAGTGGAAGTTGCTTGTTTAAGTCAGAATATAATGCTGTAGAGTCTCATGGGCTGAGGAAATGGTGAGTAAACCAATCTACAAAAGGGAAGTTGGTTATTTTTCTCAGTAGTGGTCAGAATAAGACACTGTGATGAAAATGCAATGCTCCACTCAGACTTGTGAAGGACCAGATGAGGTGGTTCTACCAAGGGTTACACAGCTGCTTCAGAGAGGGTGTTTCCCAGACCAGCCACACTGTTTCATACACCAGGAAAGGCAGTTTGATCAACAGTTGCTGACCTGACTCTTCCCTTAGCTTACACTCTGGGAGGAATAATTAAGCACGTCTATGATGGTATGTGCTCTTTGTGCAGTGCAATCACACTAATTGTCCTGCTAAAATGCCTTCTGTACCAGCAAGGTCTTGAAGGCTTGCAGTACATCCTCTTTGACAATATACATAACAGACAGATCCAGCTTGCAGGTAAACATCTTACTTCTATGCCCTCAAAAAACATATCACTTTGAAATAAATAAAAAGCAACATACTAGAATTTCAAACAAATGCTAACTTTCTTTTGGGAGTGCCACTTCGGGAAGCACGTACTGTTTGTACCCACAAAATTTTGTTCCAAGAACAGTAAACAGCATCACTCACTACTTCTGCCCGTTTGACTTTACTGAGACAGCATGGCACTCCAAGAAGTTTCCCAGGAAACCTTTACACAACAGCAGGTTTTCTTCTGTTGTCAGAAACTTTCCTGGCATGTAATGTACCATGACAAACAAACCTCCAAGCAACACCACTATTATGGTCACCGGTGTACAGGAGAAAAGGAAGAAAACTACAACCAACATTGCTTTGGCACTTGTGCTTTAGTTAATCCTTTCTTTCAGAAGCTGCTGGAGATTGTTGCCTGAGTCAGGATCTCCTCTGCTGGCTCAAATTAGACCAAAGGTTGGAGAATCATGATCCACTTTTTATATTTTAATCCAAATATTTACAGTTGTTATAATAAAAATAATAATAATGTTGCAAATTGCTCAAGTTGCGAAGTACCTTTCTTTAAGCAGTAAGTGCTACCACACTCGATGCTTTGACAAATCGGAACATATTGAAAATAGAGGATGCTGAAAGTGTTGGAGGCAAATCTGATGGCCAAATTCAACAAAGCTGCCTGAACTGAAACCAGCGGTGTTTGCCCATGCCTTCTGGGAGCTATAATGCAGAAGATCCAAAAATAGATCACTAAAGCCCCAGGGTGCTCTAGTGAATATCTCCAAGTGAGCCAACGCTTCAGCTTTCACCATTGCTTGGCCATTTTCAACAAGTGAGAGAAAACTGAAAAGCGAAGTAGCATGAGAGTGGCTAACGGTAATAGCTGTCTCAAGTGGAGTGTGTTAAATGGGAAAGAATAGGAAAAAGACCTCCTTTAGTCAACAGAACTGCATTTCCCAACTCTGTAACTTTATACATCTGATCTAAAATTCGCTTATTTGGTGCTGTCACTAAAGATAACATTTGTTTATGTATCTGATTAGTGTGAGGTGAGAGAACATACTAGGACACTACATATTTCTCTACCAATCAGAAATCCTGCAAGAGGAAAAAGAAATACCAAAATTCAAAACCATCACACATTCATCAGCATTGCCCCCACACATCAGAAGGGAAAATTGCAAAGGTGTTTTGCTCTTTTCATATACCTCAAATGCCAACTACTTCCAATGTGTGCAAGATAGCCTGATAGGCTGAGCCATGCTTCAGCTGTTGAAAGCACCAGTTTATACAGTAAGACTATAGGTTCCACAGCCTGCATGGAAGTCCAAATGGAGGTTTATGTCCAAAGGGCCAAGTGGCCTTTTTTTCAGTGTGCTTCTATAAAAATAAAGATCATAAACATCTTCTCTTTGGCATTCAGGTCTCCTCAGCTATTCGGAAGACGATAGTTCATCTATCCTCCAGTTACATCATGTCCTTGCAAGGCACCATGGTTCTCAAAAGTCTGAATGAAACTCTGACTGCTTTGAGAGACTTACCTATCCCCAGACTAGAGATAATTTCAAGGTCTTGAAAGTTACTGGCTTCTAATATTGCTTGTGGCAGCTTCAGGGTGAAGGGCAGCAAATCCCTGTAAAAAGAAACACAGTGAAAAACCAACAAAAGAATAAACCCTGCAATTGTTAGGAACTCCAGAATTTACTGTTTTAGTAATTGAAATGGCTTACAATTTCAGGCCTTTTCTGCAAAGTCCTGGATGTTGTCAAAGGAAGATCTCACAGCCAATAAGGCATCATGGACATTGTACCAGCCTGGGTTGCTCTGATTTCACAAGAGATCATCAACTCCTGTGGCAATGCTTCATAAGCCCACTAGCTTAATCACTGCATCTTGGCTTCCTCCTCTGAAAACAGCAGGAACACCTCTCACCGCAGGGGAGGCCACAGGGGTTGAAATATCTTCTCATGAAAAGTGAGGTGTTGCAAATGGGAATTATTGTAATTAGAAAAGCCATTCTTTTTGGCGTGGAGGGGATTTGCAGTCCTTTTTCTTTCTCTTTACCCCTCTCCCCACCCTGCTTCATCTTTTAAAAATGAGTGTCAGTGTAAGGCATGGGGGCAGGGCAAGACACAGTAGGGTTAGGGAAGGAAGACCCCTCCTGGGGAAGGGTAGCTCCTGGGTGAAGGGACAGACAACGATGAAGTGTTGCATGTCACTGAGAAAACATATATCCCTCTACTCTTTGCTCTCAGACCTCTGAAAAGTTGCTGTAGTTTTACTGAAAAAAAGACACAGTTTCTCAAATGATGTTGTTTGGGTTTCACTGTAACACACATCAAATAATTTAAGGGAGCTCATGGCCTGATGGTGTACTGGTCAGGTTTGCCTCTGGCCCAATGACAATTCGCTAAACCGGTTCCTGCGTCAATTCCCATTCCAACAAGGCCTGAAAAAGCCAATAATAGTCCCTAAAAGGTAGCAAGGAATGATGCAGAATAATTTTACACATTAAAAAGTTTAACAAAATATTCTGCAAGATGCAGGAAATTATTTTAGAAAAAGCTGGCCTTGTGAGTACGTAGTGTCCATTATGCAAACACACCCAAAAATACACATGACTGCAGACCTGGGGAGGACCCATCTGTTGACAGATGACTGCAGGGGGGCTATTTTCTCCCTTATTAACAGATATATATCCTACTGATGTACTGTGTACTCCATGGGTTCTCTGTGCACCATTGAGCACTCTGTTGTCACATTGTTTGACATAAATTGATGTGATCTCAGAATTTATTTTTTTTTTCATGGCAGATAGGTTTAAAAGAGGAAGAGGGTCCATGGACCTTCTACTCTTTTTTGCTGTTGTTGTCACATGCATGAGTAGCTGCCTTCTATTTTATTTATTTTTTCTTTTATTTTGTAGAAGAATACATCTAAAAATCAGGAAACATTAAGACATTACCCTAACAGAAAAAAAAATCTGGTTTTATTCATGGGGCAGCAGCTTGCAGACAAGCCACCGAGTCACCTGTAAACTACAGGTGTTATTTTTGGGATCTAAGGTAATCTAGCCAGGCCAACCTTTCTTTTGAGAAGAGCTTGTCAGCCCTGATAAGCTGTTTCCAGCTATTTATAGGTGACTATTTACTACAGCCTGGAGAACAGACTTCTACTCACTGTCACAGAGAACTCCTACAAGCTGCCAGCAAATGGTAGGTCAGTGCCTAAGCAGCCTTTTTTATTACTTCCTTCTCTCAGAAAGTTTTTCCCTACTTATCTTGTCTTTTGACAGCAATCTGAAAAATCACATGAACCATCTGAATGTGTATTTGACACTCAGAAGTAACATCTATAACAGGAACTAACAGAAAAGCTTTTCCTGGCTGGGTAGGCTGCAGCACACTGTACCATACCATAGATAGACTGTTCCTACTGTGTGACCTAACCAAGTCACTAACACAACTGCCTTGTAAACATATCCTGAATCTGCTTTCCCCTCTTAAATTGAAATAACTACTTTAAGAGTCATATAAGTTTATATAGGGGAGGTCAAAATCTTACATTGAACTCAAAATCAGGCCTGTGGCAGCAGAAATGGGGTCAGTATGTTGTGGAGGTATTGCTGCAATGTGTTCAGCACAAACAGACAGATTAGAGGAGAATGCATACAAGTGCTTAATTACACAGAGGGACTCATCATCTGCTGATCAAACCTTGCTCTAATGAAAATGACCTTACAGGTCATTCCCACCTCTGTGCCCACTATGTTTGGTATTTCTGCAAACAAACAAGGTCTCACTTTATCACTTTATATTATTTTTAAATTTTGTCTAAAGAACAAAAATTGTTCCAGGACTACTCTCCTTGCCAGATTCCCCATAGGTGACTAAGTGCTCTGAGTCTCCCACAGGCAACAGTCTGCTAGCAGGTTTTCTAAGTCACTGCCAGGTGCACATGGGTACTTAAAGCTACTTTTAATGAGAAATGGTAAATCCAGGACCCCTTTTCCTCCATGCCCTCCTAGCCTCAGTTCCTGTGCCTCAGTCCTTTGGGGGTGCAGCCTTACAGACCTTCCTCAGACAGTTTCCAGCTTCTGGGACAGCTGTGGTTAGGGTGTGCCTGGCTAGAAACTGGGTGATCTGGCCCCATCATAGATACTAGCTTCTGAAATACCTCCTGATTTGGCAGGTTAAAGGAAACTGGAGGAAACAGTGTGGGCTGTACTGTGACTGGATACTGAGGAAAGGCAGTCCAGAGGGGAGAGCGAAGCAACCCCTCTATGGAAGCAATGAATCCAACTCACCTACTGACACAGTAGAAGGCAACCAGTTTGAAGATATCCTCAAATACAAGGACAGATCCTTCCAGGTACAAGACTAATGAAAAACAGAAAAGACAGTCAGTAACTGTTTTCTTTGAGCTGTATGGTAAAAAAACCTGGTGGGTTTGGTTCACACTTCCTATATTCTGTGATTGTCTGGTATTTGTATAGACTAATATGAAGAAACATAAAGAACTGGCTTCAGACAGCCAAATGCAATGAGATTCTTCAGGGAAACAGTAGAGAAGAAATGTCTAAGCCTGGCTTTCTTAATGGTTAGCTTGAGATATCATAGTGTTGTGACAGTAATAGAAACAACGGGAAGAAAAAACCCCAGGTCACAGCCAAAGGGTTCATTACAAGCCCATCTATCTCTAAGGATCTGCATAACCACAGTACATATGGGGCTCACCTTGTGACTCTCCATGCTGGAATCTGGTTTGGTCTGAATGGACAAAGTGCTTTGAAGCAAAAAAAATAGAAATTACTGATTCATTACTATGCATATGGGCTCTGACCTGGGTCACACAGGCAGTGAGCACAGCCTATTTATATCTGCTGTCTTCTCCCTCCCATTGTGTTATACAGCAACAGCACTTTCCTTTAAGTGGCAAAATAGAATCTATACCATGTTGCAGTTTTTCAAGATGACCTCCTTTATAACAGCATGCTATGGCATTGTGTAGCCCGAATCTCACATGTTGTTATAGGGTTTTTGGCTGCTAAGCTAGAAAAAATTGACTGGTCAGTTTGAGAAAATTTCACATTGACCATTAACACAAGGCAGAATGAAAGAGATGGATCTGCAGGAGAGAAGCATCCATCTTTGTTTCAGCTTTATAGTGTCACAAATTGTCTGTGCCTGTATGTACACAACACACCATCACAAGTTTAAGGAAATCTGTGGTGGATTCTCAAAATGCCTGCTTACTGGTAGCGGAGAATGGGAGCCCCGGAGCTGCACTGTTCCTGCCATGGGAGCACACCAGCAGTCCTCGAGGAGCAGCACCAGCTCAGACCCACATAGCAGCCCCCACAGCTGCTCTGCATCTTCCTTTACTCTGTTTCCTAGGCCCTAGTGCAGAGCTGTGGACATGAAACACAGCTATCATGATTCACTTTCCTCATTCTGCCATGACTCACAGCCCCGTGAAACATCTCCAGCTCCTTGCCCTGCCTGCCTGGTTGTTAGTTCACGTAGAAAGCAGGGCCTCCAAGACCTGCAGGAGGGAGACAGCCGCCTGGCTCTCCTCTCCCTCGGCTCCCTGCACTGGCTCTTGTTCTCCAGCCAGCAGAAAATCCCCCTGGAAGGAAACTCAAGCTTGTCTCTTGTTCAGCTTCACAGCTCATTCCCCAAACAAGGCATTTCCTCCTTTTACTTCTCCCTTTGTCCTAGCCCAGGCTGAGCATGTTGCTATTTTGGGCTACATATACCAATGTAGGCATTCTTTAAAGAGGCAAAGGCCATGTAATTCTCAGAAGGCATTCCTAACATCAATTTGTGTTGGATCAGCATAAACAGATCAACCTCAGTGTGTGCACTGATACCAGCCTGCAATGTGGAATTTAAAACACACTTCAAGAAAAACAATGCCTTTCCCTTACTTTTCTCCCACAACTGGAACAATAAAAGTTCTGGAAGTTTTTTCTTTTCCGTAATAAGAATCATGTTTCAGTCAGGGATTTTCATTAAGCATCTACCATGAACAATTTCTATAGTTTGTAATCCATCTGCTTTGCAGCTCTGAAACAGGAAACAAAAATGAAGACAAAACCCAGTGCTGTTCCAGAGAACGAACCAAAACCCAAGAGTCTGAACTCACTTGAATCACCAGCAATTAAATAAAGCCCTTTATGAGGACAATGGTTTTAGGGACTTTTTTTCTGTTAAGAACCACATGTTCACTTTGGCATCCCAACTTGCAGGTGTATGTAAGAGAGCAGGCTGCACCTGTACATGTTTACATACATGAGCAGATTGCCTGGGTTGGGACTAATGATTGTTTCTGTGCCAGGAAGCTCTGCCACTTGGGAGGTGGAATTTTAGACAAAAGACTATCTGTCTGAGCCCCTCAGTGTCAGGACTATCCATATAAAATTGCCTTGACACTATACAGCTACTTCTCCTCCCATACATAGTTAAACAAAATAAAACACCACAGATCACATTGCTAAAGCAGTCTAGGTACAAAAGCTGCAGGAGCTTAAAGACAGAAGTTTTCAGCAGGTCGTATATAGAAATTGAACTGTCCCTGGTCTGCTCTGAGAGGTCACAGAAGGTGACAAAATCAAGCATATTTGTCAGCAGGCTGGAAATCATCGTACAAAGACACACAGCTCTGCTGGGACTTTTTTTGGGTGGCCTGCAAACAAGTAAGAATAGAAAAACACTGCTTTGGATGGATCATTACTCAAGGTACTAGCTCCATCAGGATGGATGCTCTGCCCAAAATTCATTTAGAACAGTGGCAGTGTCAAGCAGCCTGTGCAGGGCTACCACGGCCACTTGGGCCCACTCCCAGCACAGGACCCACAGAGAAAGCCTTGCAATCTGTGTGGAAGGTCTTCCCGGAGAGGAACTGCAACACTTTTTCCTTAGCCTGTTTTTATCTAGACACCTGCTGAGCACCAGCAGGCATCTCTGATAAGTAGTGCTTCCTGACTGCTTTGCTCTTAGGTGGCAGATGATGGGTTTGGTATAAGGAACATCTCTTGTGGGAATGGTTGTCACTTGCTTGTGGTGACCATTACGTGGATCCTGTTCAATGTTTCTGATTCTTGGAAAGATGCAGAAAATAGCAAGTTTATACAGCCAAAAAGGCTCTGCTGACTGCTGGGGACAATGTATCTGTCCCCCAGTGCCATTACTGATTGTAACGGACCCTGCTCTGAGAAGACAGGAAGAGGTGCTTTTCTCTGGCTGTTGGATGTGTTGGGGGTAGCTGGAGACATTTCACTGACATGAGCACTGCTACTCGGGAAGGGATCACAATGTTGCCATTTATAGGAACTCATGACTTTCGCAAAAGCTAAAAGCAGACACTTTTCTGCAAGACTGCTGTAAATCCTGCTGAAAACTGCAGTGACAAAACTCACCTTTCTTTGGCTCATAAAACTACACCCAGGATGCCTGAAGAACAAGGAAATCTTTACGTCTCACCAGAACAGTGTCAGGATGTCAAGAATATGATCAAAAGCAACAGCAAAAATAGGCTGAGTTCTGTGAGCCAAACATATTGCCACAGCAAACTGAATTTTACCCAGTATTTAGAAGCCCACAGAAAAAAGTCACCTTCAAGAAATGAAAGGGGAAATGTGTAAATCAATGAGCAATTTTGAGCAGTCTAAAACAAAGATATCAGGATTAATTTAAAAAAAATAAAAAAATGTATAGGGTTCATTGTTGACTATACTCTATTTTGTTTCCTTTATGCAACTCAATATGTGAACAGGACATGGCCAGGTTATGAACTGCTATAAATATTTAAGATTTTCTCATCTTTCCCTTTACTACACCAACATGCCCCGAAGAGTGTCATTTTTAGACACTGACTGCAATCTGTCTTTGTGTTTTCTTTACTCTTTAGATCTCCTCATCTTTAGATCTCCATTGAGATGGAGATGGTTTTGAGTGACACTGTTCCTGGGCTTTCTGCCTTCCTTTCTTCTTTGATTTTCCCCTCCAGAATTGTGTTTACTAGTCATTTTGTTCTGGCCACATGGACAAACCACCCCAATTTCCATCTTCTCACTGCTTACATAGGCTCACAGGACCCCATTGATTCAGCTTCTTCTTCTCTAATGGTGCTGTTAGTCCTATTCACTGGTTTTGATACCTGTGCAATCCTTCAGAGACATCTGAATTCAAAGATACGAATTCTTCATTCTGCAGCAGTTGTGTCAACAGAGGACTACTGAGAGCACAACCATCCTCAGAAGTCCTTCTTGGATGTGCTTGAGATGCTTTTATATTTCCAAATTCTGGTAAACTGTGAGAATGGAGTGAATCCATTTTTAAATTTCTATTGTAAGACTGTGGATTATAACTCCACAGTCTCCTAACCAGACCTCTCATTGGTGTTTCTCTTCTTCCATATCTCTCTGGCTTGATACCACAGTTGCCAAGGCCTTGCTTGCAGTGACCTTTGCAGTAAGCAGCACTGGCCAGTTTTGCTGCTGTTCTGCTTTCCTCAACCTTTTACTCACCATCAGGATGGGATCACTCCAAGGCAGAGGTTACTGACTTTCCAGCTTCCAGCTGCTGATGTTCCTAGCTGTTGCACAGGCCAGGTTAGCAGTTTTTTGCCCCTGGGGAATGAGCCCTGAGTATTGTAATAGAGAACTGCAGTGACTATCAGGTGCTGAGGCTGTTGTGTTAGTCACTATACCTGCCGTGCTTCACAAAGATTCGTGGGTGAATGATGTAATTCCTTCAGGTTATTGTTTCCGTTCCCTGAGCACATGCAAGTCTCCTTCAGGCCCTTATTCATGCACTGGGCTGGTGGTGGTATTAAGAGAATGAGCTTTAGCTAGATAGAGGGGAATTTAGATTACATTGGTATAAGTCCTTAGGGTGTTTATGGTGTCTTTTACAACAGCTCTGTTCAAAAGTTCCTAGTACCTGTCCCTAACGTTGTTTCTTGTATTACTTTTGATGACCTTCTGGATGGTACTGTATGGCCTTTAAGTACTGTGTTCTTTGTAAAACACTAACACTGTTTATCTGTTTTGTCTTCTCAAGGCCATTTTATTTCTTCTGTAATCTGATGCCTCTGCTTCTTTCATCTGTCAAAGCTGTAGTTCTTTTGGTTGCAGAGTTCTAGGCTGTTTTGGGCAACCCAGGTCTGTTTTGTCTTTCTTGTCTTTCCTAGTGATTCTTCCACAAGACTGTAAGTTTCTTCTGTTTTTTCTCCTCATCAAGGATGGGCAGAAACTTCCCTGGTTTGCACTTCTGCCAGAGTCTTCTGTTGTGCATCTAACATATGCTTTCTCACAGGATTTAAATTTTATGGCATAAAGAGTTTAATCTTTATGGCTATGATTTAAAAAAAAATC